GCCGGCCAACCTGCCTGCCACCCTGTCCCGGAACTTGCTATTTGCTCCCAGGCCTCCTTCCCACTGGCCCAGTGCCCCACCCCCCACCTGGCAGACCCAGGAGCTCCCACCTTCTCCTCCCAGGTTCCTGCCTGCGTGCCCCTCCCCTAGCACCGGGCACCCTAAAGCTCTGGCCTGAGCACGAGGCGCTAAACCACCCGCGGGCCCCACTGCCACAGGTGCCCAACAGGCCCAGGCCGGGCCTTGGCACAGGCCTCCTGCACACGCCGCTCCCGGAGGTCTCGTCCGCCTGTGAACACAAGCTCCTTCAGAGCTGCAGGCTCCCCGCTGCAGCCCGCACTACCCCGGGGCCCCAGGCGACTGTGGATAGAGAGACCCAGGCAAGCCAGGAGGGTGCCGGGGACATCCCTGGGCACTGGAGGAAATTGAGGCCAGGTCTATGAAGTGGGCTGGGGGCTGAGATTGGCGAGGATCCGGGACCCCCCAGATCAGCCCATCCGAGGGGTGGGTACCTCCCACATGCTGGCTGCCTGCTGGGCCCCCTCTGTGGGCCGCCGCCTCCTTTCCGTTCCTGGCCCCAAGAATGCCCTTGCTCTTCCAGCCTCCCCGGCTGCTCTCTTCCTTGGGCTTCCAAGTTGCTAGAAGCTGCTGAGGTCATGAGGACCTCTAGCTAGGCCAGCACTGGGCTCCCGGCCCAAAAGCACCTGAGCCGTAGGCAGTGGGAAATGCAGAGCAGGAACGGCACCCCCTTATGCCACACCCGATCCAGACCCGCACCAGCCCTGGCTTGGGGCCCAAATGCAGCCAGCAGAAATCCCACCTGGCCTGGCGGCCGACCAGCTGGATGAGATAGGAGAGCCCAGCTTCCCAAGCTGACCAGGCAGAGGCCTGGTGGAGGGAAGGCGCCCTGAGCCCCAGAGTTAGTGGCAGAGCAAGAAGGTGGTGAGGTCCACCCGTGCACCCCACAAAGATGTCACAGAGGGCAGGGAGGTCGGCCACCCAGCCCCTGCTCCCCACTGAGCCCAGGGTACGTCTGCTCGTGCCCCCCAGTCCTCGGGGTCTTACCTAGGAAGGTCCCGGTGAAGCCCAGTGCAAAGAAGCTGGAAAGCACAAACGTGCTGCCTATTCCCAGGAGCGCAAGGCCTACGCGGTAGGCCGTGGGGTTATCCAGGCTTTCCATCTTGGGCTGGCTCAGCATGGCCTGCGTGAAGCTGGGGGGAGAGTCAGGAGATCACTGCCGGGGAGAGGGGCTCCCCCAGCCTTGCCCCCCTCTGTCTCCCAGGTGACCCCCAGAATAGCCAGTCCAGGGGTCTCGGAGCCTGCTGGGGCCAGGCCGGTGACCCAAATGAGTGAGGTAGGCTGCAGGTGGCTTGCGGTGCTCCTGGAGAGCACCGTCCTGCCCCTGCAGCCCCCATCCCCCTCCTGCCACCAGTGACCAGAATGAGGAGCCTGGGCCCTCCTAAATTTTTTTATTTTTTAAGAAGCCAGAAATCATGACTTGTATGTAAAATACTCTGATTATTAGAAATAGGCAACAATGACAACTGCTTTAGACTCCCGTGTGACAGCGGGCTCGATTCAGCCCAGAGACCACCAGTTTGCAAACTCTGATGCCTGTCCAGTTAGAACCAGTACTTCAGAGGCAAATGTGGCTCAAAACAGGAAAGATGCATGCCCCTGGCTGTGCCCACGTGCCCTTGCACTTGGCAGAGCGTGCGTGTGGTGGTGGCATCGCACGCCCCTAGAGTGGACACAGTGCCCAGAAGCCTGGGGCACACTCTGCCCCCTTTGCGGCCTCCACAGTCCCTGGGCAGGGCTGGCTGCATCCCAGGTGGCACCTCAGAGGCCCCTTAATGCCTTCCTTTCACCTCTGAAGTGCCCCCACCAAGCTCCTTTTGGGGCCAAGCCATTGGAGGCCTTGTTAAATGGCAAGTGATGAAAACAGGGGGGAAGGGACTGGCTCGTGGGTTTGGAAGTTCAGGTTCTCCAACTGGCTACTGAAGATGGGAAGGTATGGTGCAGGCAGGGCAAAGTGACTGGGCTCATGGTAATGCATAGAAGCAAGGTTCAGGGTCTGCCTCACTAGTGGGGAGCTGGCACTGGGGGGGGCATACTCAAAGGAAAGGATGTGTGTGGGAGCAAGTGCATGCGTGGACCACTAACATATACTTCCCACTCCCCCATGATCCTAACACTCAGAACAGACATGGGGCTCTCCTGCCTCATGCAGGACAACTGCTTGTACTCACTCTTTACCAGGTACCTCTTAGCTGGGCAGCTCACTATCTACCTACCCACCCACACATCCATCCACCTGTCTAGCCTCTATCCATCCACCCTTCCATCCATCCACCTACCCATCCATTAGTCTATCCTCCATCCATCCATCCATCCACCCACCCATCCTTCCATCGTCCACCCATCACTCATCCATCAGTCTATCCTCTGTCCATCCATCATTCCATCCATCTGTCCATCCATCCATCCATTCATCCAACTATCCTCTATCTATCCATCCATCTGTCCATCCACCTACCCATCCATTAGTCTATCCTCCATCCATCCATCCTTCCACCCATCCTTCCATCCCTCAATCTATCAATCTATCCCTCCATCAACCCATCCATCCACTCACCCATCCATCTACCCATGCATCCATCTATCAGTCTATCCTGTATCTATCCATCCGTCACAAGGTACCTCTGTTTGCAAGTCTCTTTCAAGCAGAACAAATTCACCATCCTCACTCATTCATTCCACTGGGAAATTCAAATTATTATAACCATCCTTATTTGAGCTAAAAAACCACCCCCTTCGAACTCTCTTCCCCAACTACTTTCAGCTCTTAGAGAACAGAGGCTGCTTCTGCTTCGCTCAAGTATCTCCCAGGCACCTGGCACGCACCAGACGGGACGGGTTATGGTTCACATCAACTGAAGGAAAAGCAGCACCCGCTACCCACTACCTCCCCTCCCGCTGCACACAGAGGCCCGCATGGTGACCTGTCAAACAGCGGCACACGTATGTCAAAGCACACCTATACACCGGTCACGCTGCCCACACCCCCGGCTCTCCACCCACCACCGCCCTCCCTCAGCCTTCTGCTGCCCAGGCTCAGGGTCACCCCGAAGGTCCAGGCTAAGCCGCTGGGATTGGCTCAGGGTCACGCACACCCTGTTGTTGTCCGTGGTCACCACACCCATGCCCCACCCCTCTCTGCCCTCACCTGACTTTCTGGGAAACCAGCAGCCCTCACCCTCTGGGCAGCCCCGTGACGCAGGCACACCTTCAGCCCTGCAGACCCAGCAGCTGAGGCCATGGAACAGGCAGCTTCCCGCCCAGCCTCCGCACCCTCCCCACCTCTCCTGTGTGTAGGAGGGCGCGGGCTCTGGTAAGGCTGACCGCCCCACCCCGAGTGGGGCTCACCTGCACACCCAGCAGAGACGGAGTATGTACGTGGGTGGGTGGGGGTGATGCTCAGGCCTCTGTGCTCTTGTGGGCTCGAGTGAACCACCCCCCGCCTGGCCCCTGGCAGGTTTAGCACCTGCTCCGCCCTGCCTGGGGTGCCCCCTGGCCCCCAAACCAAGGGAAATGAGGCAGAGCGGGCACCCCCTGGCCAGCCCAGCGTACCCATCTGCCTCGAGTGCTCTGGGGGGGGGGGGGCACCTTATGGCAGCCCAATAAAAGAGCCCCTGGCAAAGAGCGGCACCGATTTTCAGACTTGGGTGCCCCGAACCTTGGCTTTTGCCTCTGTAGATGGTGATGGTAACCCCTCATCGCCCTGTGTGGAGCTGCAACCGATGTCTGTGCACACTCTGGTGAGCGTGAGACATGCCGGGCTCTCCTATGGGGCTTGCGGACAGTGGGAAGGACAGAGGTGTGAACGCAGGGTGACACCGTGTGATGAAGCACCAGGCGCCACGGGACGGGCGGGCACACCTGACGGGCCTAGGAGAGGCCACGGCAAGGCTCAAGCTGAGATCTAATGAAGAAATTCATCAGGAGAAGGGCAGAGAGAGAATTCCAGAAAGAGGAACAGCCCAGGCAGAGGCTGGGGGCAGAGCCCAGCACGGGAGCTCAGGAGCTCGGTGTGAAAGCAGCCTGCGGAAGAGACGCGCCCTGGGGTCGTCTGGAATGTGCTCTGGTGAGTGGGAAGTCACTGGCGGGGAGGAGCAGAGCAGGGGACATCGTCAGCTTACTGCAGCAGGAGGGCAAGTACTGGGGGCCCAGGGGGCCGAGGGAGCCCAGCCACCGCCCAGAGGGGACCGATACGGGGTTCCAGAGAATCCGGCCTCGGTTTCAGGCTCCGCGCTGGGCTGGCTCTGGTTCCTCCACCAGAATTCACTCATATCCTCCAAGAAGCCCGTGAGTCGCCTGGCTCTGAGCGCATGCCGCAAAGGCAGCGATGAAAATGGAAACTTCTCGCTGACGTGCTGGCCTGAAGCAGCTTCCCAGGGGGATGACCCTGCAGGAGAAGCCATCTGCTTGGAAGCAGATGGAGATTCCTAACAAAGGGAAGATCTAGGGCCAGTGATGGGCAGAAGGCCCTGAAGCGGCTGGGCAGCTGCCCAAGACTGGACCCGGGCCTCTGTCCACGTGTGGCTCCTTTTCCGTGCCTTCTCCAGTGGGAAGAGAGGAAGAGAAGGGGCCAGCGGAAAGCACCCTCCAAGCTCCTTCAGCACCCATTCCCCGCAAAGCTCTGCAGCCCATTCTCTCTGGGGTCAGCAGAGAAAGCGGGCAAGGCCCTTCCCGAGGGTTCTATGCAGATGCCCTGTGCACTGCCCGGCCCACGGGCTCTCTGGGACCACAGGCGTCAGGTTTCCTGGAAGGGCAGGGCTCGGCCCCAGTCAGGTGATCCGTCGTGTTCTAGATCCTCCATTAAACCGGGAAGGCACAGTCCATTCCCTATGGAAAATTAATGCAGGGATGAGTGGCTCTATGAGCCACGCTTCATAATAGAATGAAATAACAGGAGGCAATTTCCTTTGGAAATATTCTGCACGGGGGGTGGGAGTGGAGAGACTCATTCATTTGTCTCGGGTTCTATTTTTAAAACCTGGATTGAGCTTTCGGTCACCCGTGTGACTTGAGGATGTCTGTGCTCTGCTCCCCTGAAATCCCGGAACCCAGAGTGGAGGCGGAGAGAGGGTGTCGCAGCCCGTTGTGTCCCCACCACAACCCAGGCACCCGGCTCGGCCAAGAGACCGGCTGGTGGCCATGTCTGTCTGCAACTGACCAGCGCTGACAAACTTCAGCCCTTCAAGGACGCCCTCACGTGTTCTCCAGGCGAACCTGAACGGCGATTCACTTCACAGTCTACCTTTCAGGCTTAGGTTAGCGCGTTCCTCAGGGTCCAGCCACGCTGAGCAAAACGATTCATGAACGTTGGCGTCTGGTGCGCGGACTTATTTTTTTCCTAATCCACATTAAAATAAACCTACAAGGGGCGCCTGGGTGGCTCAGTCGGTTAAGCATCCGACT